CTCACATCTGTAGTCCCAACTACTCAGGAAGCTGAAGTGGGAGGATCACCTGAGCTTGGAAGGTTGAGTTTGCAATGAGTGAAGATTGCAACAGCCTGAGTGACAGAGTGGGACTCTGTTTCAAAAAAAAAAAAAAAAGAAAAAGAAAAAATAGAGTACTGTATACATTTCCCTACTTTGAAATCAGACTGAGTTTTTTAATTCAATTACTGATCTCCCTGATATATTGGGCTTCTAAATTTTTTAAAAATATATTTTTTTCAGGAGCCTCTCTGTTCCGTGAATGTTAAGACATTCTGGTTCTTGACAGCGCTAAATTTTTCTCCTTCCCAAAGCCCTAGAAAGCTCTGATTGCCACTCAGGCTAAACAAGCGCCATATAATGCCTTGCAGCTTGGGGTAAGTTTCATTCCAAGGGCATTTATTGGAAGCATCAGGTATTTGTTCCTTCTTCCCCATGGGCCTCCCTAGACAGTTCTCCGTGATCGTGAATTTTAGTACAGTTCAAGTTTCAATGACAGCATTAAAAGATCTCTGTTTTATGTAAACTTCACAGATCTCACCACGCTGGGAAAGAATTTTCAAAAGAAAAGGCAAACTCACTGCTTTGGCTAATTCTGGGGCAATATTCTCTCCCTATTGGCCTCAAGACTGGCCTAGTTTAAGGAACAAATTAGAGAATAAGAATTTTCAGTCTCAGGGAACATTGCCTTACGTAGGACAATTCTAGATGTCAGAACTTGATCCCCACGGAGGCAACCAAGAATTCTGAGAATCTATCCTGTGCCAGATATTTTTTTTTTTTTACATATTATCTTATTCATTAAAATAGTATTTCCAGAAAAGAGGATGGATCTATAAATTTAAGTAACTTGCTCATGTTCATGCAGCTGGCCTGAGACAAAGCTGAAATCCAAATTCTCTGCCTCTAAGACCAGGATTTCCCCGTTCTTCCCAGTACTGACTGCTTGGTTTCTCTGATTATTATTAATTTTTTTTTTTTTTTTTTTGGAGGCAGGGTCTTATTCTTTCACCTAGACTGAAGTGCAGTGGCACAATCTTGGCTCACTGCAACCTCCATCTCCTGGGCTTAAGCACTCCTCCTACCTCAGCCTCCCAAGTAGCTGGGACTATAGGTGCATGCTACCACATATGGCTAATTTTTGTGGTTTTGGTAGAGATGGGGTTTCACCATGTTGCCCAGGCTGGTCTCAAACTCCTGAGCCAAGCGATCCACCCACTTTGGCCTTCCAAAGTTCTGGGATTGTAGGCATGAGCCACTGCACCAGGCCTGATTATTTTCTTTTGAAGGATGCCTTTTGCTATATTATTATCTAATTCCTTTAGTTTTTTAATAGCTTTAATTTATTTTCAAATACTTCCTCCCAGTTGGTGGTGGCTTATCGTTTTAACTGTATCTTTCAAAAAGGAGTTCTTAATTTTGATGAACTCCAATTTATCATTTACCTTATTTTTTGGTGGATTGTGCTTTTGGTGTTGTAGCTAAGAAATCTCTAACTCAAGATTACAAATATTTTGTCCTATATTTTCTATACGTTTTATAATTCTAGTATTTACATTTTAGATATATGATCCACTTTAGGTTAAGTTCTATCTTATGAGGTGTGAACTAAAGTTCCTTTTTAGCAAACAGATTTCTAATTGTTCCGGTACCGTTTGTTAAAGGCCATCCTATCCCACGGAATGGCCTCTGTACCACATGTGTGGCTGAGTTAGTGGGCCATCTGTCCTGGTCCAGTGACGTGACTCTATGCTAATGCCACACTACCATGATTTCTGTAGCTTTATGATGAATCTTGAAGCCGGGTAGTGTACGTCTTTTGACTTTTTTTTTTCCATTTTCAAAGTTATCTTGGCCATTAGACCCTTTATCATTTCTTTAGCTTTTATTTATTCAGGGACACAATTATTAAACAAGATTTAGAAATCTAAAAATAATTTAAAATTAAAAATTACTATATAAAGAGCTGCATGAAAACTGCCTATAATGTAGCTTCGTCAGGAAGTAAGGCACTCTGGGCACTGGATTCCATTTAGTTAACATAAAATTGTTGCATATACCTTGCATGGATTGCCATTTTTCAGAAGAATTAAAGTATAATCATTTATACCAGAATTGTATTGGACACGATTGCAATTTTCATTGATGTGTCAGAAAACACCTTGGGCCCTAGAGTACCTTAGTCATTATAAACGTCAGTTGTCATTGCCGTAGTATTGTGGGGGAATTACTGGTTAAAGAGAGTTCATTAGTTGTATTGCTGTCTACCATAGTTATTTACTCTACTGTTGATTTGAGGAATACCTTTCTTCAAACATCTAAAAGTGTTGTAGTTGATAGTGGTATGCAAAGCATTCTGGGGTCTGTCTCTTCCAATAAAGCATATCCCTGTTTACTTTAAGCTTGCTATCTGCTGGGGGACAGTGAGGAGTGACTATTAATTAGGCGATTGAGCTCTGATCTGTTATATTGCTGCCACTGTGTGACATGGAGCAAATTACTTAGCTACTTCGGGTTTCAGTTTCATCATTTGTAAGATGAAAGGTTTGGGCCAGTTGACCTTGAGTGGCCCATTTGGCTCTAGATTTTCCTTACTCTTTTGTAGTGTCTCTATCCACTTAAAAATTACAACCCTTTGGGAGGCCGAGGCGGGTCAAGAGATGGAGACCATCCTGGTCAACATGGTGAAACCCCGTCTCTACTAAAAATACAAAAAATTAGCTGGGCATGGTGGCGCGTGCCTGTAATCCCAGCTACTCAGGAGGCTGAGGCAGGAGAATTGCCTGAACCCAGGAGGCGGAGGTTGCAGTGAGCCGAGATCGCGCCATTGCACTCCAGCCTGGGTAACAAGAGCGAAACTCCATCTCAAAAAATAAAATAAATAAATTAAATAAATAAAAATTACAACCCCTTTCAAAATAAACACAAACTCGTAATGGCGGAAAGCACCGTGATGAGCTTCCCCAGTCAGGAAGTAGTAGTAGTTTGATGCATCACAGATTGCCTAACACCACTGAGTGCCTCTCCTTTTAACCATCACTTAAGTGGCTGGCACTGACCACTTAAGATGGCATTTATGGCTCCTGGTGCTGAGACATTTTGTGGCTCATGAAACTCCCGTATTCTAAGAAAGGAAAGAATTGCTTCTAAGCCCAGGCAATCCCAAAGCTTCAGAGTTCTCCTGAGTTGGCAGGTTAGATTTTCAAATATATCTCCAAAGTACATGGTCCAACTACCTGAAACCGAGGACTTTGTATATCTTCATTGTCTCTCCGATGCCAAAGCACAGCACATCTACAAGGATCATTACTGTCGTAAAGCAGTAAGAAGCTTGGAGAGCCAGTTTACTAGGAAATGCAGAATATAGATACAAATTAAAAATAGTAGACAAGAACATTTACTGAGTACTTACTGTGTACCAGGTGCTGTGCCAAGCACTTCTTTGCATTATATTAATTAATCCTCATAACAATCTTGAAAACTAGGCATTATCATCTCCCTCTTACAAATGAGGACATGATGCACAGAGTTTACGCTACTTGCCCAAGGTCACACAGTGGTGAGTTGCAGAGCTGGTCTTCAATTCATATCTGTTTCAATCTAGAGTTTTTTGGTTTGTTTTGGTTTGTTTTGGTTTGGTTTGGTTTGGTTTGGTTTGGTTTGGTTTGGTTTTGAGACGGAGTTTCGCTGTTGTTACCCAGGCTGGAGTGCAATGGCGCCATCTTGGCTCACTGCAACCTCTGCCTCCTGGGTGCAGGCAATTCTCCTGCCTCAGCCTCCTGAGTAGCTGGGACTACAGGCACGCGCCACCATGCCCAGCTAATTTTTGTATTTTTAGTAGAGTCGGGGTTTCACCATGTTGACCAGGATGGTCTCGATCTGTTGACCTTGTGATCCACCCGCCTCAGGCTCCCAAAGTGCTGGGATTATAGGTGTGAGCCACCGCGCCTGGTTTAGAGTTTAAACTCTCAATGATGACATCAGAGACTAGTACATTTAGGAAGTCATTGCATGTGTAGGATTACAGTGATCTAAACAAAGAATAACAGGTTCTGATGGGTCACTTTTTGGGTAGACATGATGGAAGAAATAATTCACACAAGATTTCTTGAAGAAATTGTTTTGAGTTTCATTTTGAAATGAAGGATATAAATTGGCCTAGAGAAGCAGATGAGTTTGCACTGAGGGGATGGACTATATGAGGCCATGAAGAGGCAAACAAACAAATTTCACATTCAGGAAGCAACATAAAGACTTACGCATTGCAGGGTGATAGCCAGAAATAAGGCTGATGTCATGGGGATGAAAACCCAAGAGGTTTCACTTTATTATAATAGGCACTGGAGATGCAGTCTCGGTTCTCAAGGAAGAAAAGGAACATAATTAAAATTGTCTTTGATTGTACAGCTTATCCTACAACTCACGTGGGATAAATATGAGCTTCGAGTGCATCAGGGGAGGTCAAAAGAACATTTCTTAGCAAAACATATTTGATACTCAACAAATTATCTTCGGAAGTACCACATAGCTCATCTCACTAAGGCCCCATGGACATAATAGTGCAATGACAGTGTACTGAGGCCTTTAAATTAAGACACCTGAATACAGATTTTACGTAATTTTTAGAAATAAAGGTGACTCATCCACCGCAGTTAAGCTACCAGTGCATTCCTTTGGCCCATCAGCACTGGTACTGTGTAGTATGCATAAAAGGAACACGGAAGGGTTACAGATTAAAGTGAGAGTTGGGCAAATAGAAATCTCTCAACAGTATGTACTAAACTGAATTGAGTGGAAACCTGCTTTCAGATCTCAATTGCTGCTCCTGACTGAGGGCCAGTGCATTTGGTGAATTATAGTTGGGTCCCTTCCATTATAAATCCACTAATGCTAACTTAACGTCTCTTCACATTTTCTAAAATGACTTTTCTCTCTCTCTCCCTCCATCTCCCTCTCTGTCTCTGTTTTTCTCTCTCCAGTTTCAGAGACCTAATGACTTCTCACCCCCTTTCCGCTTTGGGACTGTGCCCAACGGCAGCACAGAGAGAAATATTCGCAATAACTATGCAGAAATGCATGCCTACATGGGAAAGTTCAACCAGAGAGGTGTAGATGATGCATTGCTCTCTCTGAAAACAGGGTAAGAATTGCTTCCAAGCTCAGAGTCCTCGATCTGTCTCTCCCGTTTATTAAGCATACTATTGAATCACATGCACTAGGTATACAATACTTGGTATCATAAAATGTTAAAGAAGACATTTGCTTCATTTTCTCTTTAAGGATTTCAGAGTTTATATCATTTAAATCAATGTACAAAGATTCCTATGCCATTACTCACTTCTACATATATATATTATATATATATAATTTTTTGTTTTTACAAATTATTTTCTAGTTGTACTAATGTAACCATAAGAATGAAATAAATGTAGAAGTAGGAGCGTGGAGTCAAGGATAAGGTATTTGTGTTGTGTATGAAACAAAGACCTGTTGTCTAAGACGTGAAAATGACAGTTCTGGTGTCTCGTGGACAAGGGAGAAATAAAAAGGGGAAAGTGAAAATGTTTTTAGATAACTAACAGTAAGAATGTGTCGACTGATCTCCGGTGCCAGCTTGTGTTCACATATTCTGTCCTCTAGGGAATGTTTGTCCATTAAAAGGAGCTTGTGACCTACACGTGTTGGCTCGCACAGTCCCAGCCACATTGGTCCTTTTGTTCATTTGGCCTCCACACGCCACAGCTGTGGAAGATGATGGATAATGGAGCATTACGGATGTTGGCATTTGGAGGTCAAAGAGTCTTGTAGCTGATTTTCTTTGTTGTGTGATGACTAACAGCACTTGGACCTCCTCTCGATACCCTTGTAGCTCTAGGTCTGGAAAAGGCACCTAGATACATGGTTACTTAAAATACTGTTAGATTCTGTTTGATCACCATAAATACAGTCACTGAAGACTTCAGAAGATGGGATTTGAGCTTGAAGGTAGGACCGCTTTGGGTAGCCTAACCCCTGCCACACCCACCGTTCTCCTTCAGATCAGGGCTTTGGTTTTTTGACGTGTCCCTTTCTATAGGGTACCTAACAAAGTTACTTAGTAAAAATGAAGGAAATAATGCATTGCAGGAAGGAAAATAGAGCATTGCACATCTGCCTTGCAAAGAGAGAAATATATAAAAAGAGGTTCTTATATGTTTAGGAACTATATGCCGTAATTTATATATTTGAGAGATCTGAATTCTTCTGTATGTTGCCTTCTCTTGTAGTTTCACTCATCTGCTCTTACACAAGCCTGAACTGCCAGCGCCTCAACCCCTCACCTCTATCCTTGTGCTGCACAACAGAATATGGGAACTTTTGTGACCACAAAAATAGCATTGCACATCTATTGAAACACAAACACCTACACTTATCCCCACTCCAGACTGTAATGAACTGAGAAATGAAAAACGTTATATAAATCTAACCCCATGCTATTTGTTGCTCGTTGCGGTGGTTACTTTTCATTATTTCTGTTATTATTTTTATTGATCCCTTCTTACTCCTTCTTCTTTTCAGACACAGTTTATGAGTTGGCTCCAGGCCCAACTTACCTTCTCATCATTCCCAGTGGGAGGAAAAGAACTCCTCCTTTCAACCTGAAATCACATTAAGAACAGCCTGGGATTTAGGCTTTAGATTCTGGCAGAGTTCCAACTTAAACCTTACTTTGAACCAATTCTCCACATAGTTTTCTGGAACCCTGCTGCTTCATATTAATGGCCCCATAGGTAGTTTTGTTCTAAAATTCCTCCATTGGATTTGTTTGCTTTTTTCCTGTGCAGGAAACTGGATGCCTTCATCTATGATGCAGCAGTGCTGAACTATATGGCAGGCAGAGATGAAGGCTGCAAGCTGGTGACCATTGGCAGTGGGAAGGTCTTTGCTTCCACTGGCTATGGCATTGCCATCCAAAAAGATTCTGGGTGGAAGCGCCAGGTGGACCTTGCTATCCTGCAGCTCTTTGGAGATGGTGAGTTCAAGAAAGGGAAAGTGTCCATTTGTCCTCTACGGATGGCCAGTCCAAAACATCAACCTTTTCTTTTCCTCCATTTCTTTAACCTGTGCATTTCCAGGAAGGCATTTCACAGTGTATTCTGAGGTTTTTGGGTACATGTTGGTTTCCTATTGCTGCTAAAACAAAGTGCCTTGCACTGAGCAGCTTAAACAACGGAAATGTGTTGTTTCACAGTTCCAGCAGGGTCATTCTCTTCTGGGGTCTGCAAGGGAGAATCTGTTTCATGCTTCTCTCTAGTATCTGGTGGTTCACTGATAATCTTCGGTGTTCCTTATCTTAGAGAAGCAGAAGGTCCCCCAAATTCTGATTCACGTTCACATAGCGTCTAACCAGTGTGCATGCTTTCCCTCTGCATATGTCTGTGTCTGAATTTCCTTTTTTCTTAAGAATGCCAGTCATATTAAATTAGGGTCTCACCCTACTCTGGGATGAGCTCAGCTTAATTATGTTTGCAATAACTCTATTTCCAAATAAAGTCACATCCAAAGGTATTGGGTGTTAGGACTTCAACATACGTATTTCACGGGGGATGCTGTAACATTTCACACCATAATAATGTGAAAGATGGCAGGGAGAATATTGAAGCAGTTTGTCAAGGAGGTTTGTTTTTGGGATGCAGACATAATCAAACCTTCAGGGATAAAGGAGGAGAACTGACATTAGATGTTTCATCCAATCATCTCACATGTGACCAAAACAATAGATGGAACTGTGGAAGATCTCTGCTCTTTATTTCTCTGCCCTACTCTGGACCTATAAACTTGCAGCCATCTCTTTATTCTTCCCTTTCTCCCATCTTGCTCTTTCAGCTGGAAGAGGCAGGAGTCAGGGCTAGGGTCCTTATAGGCAGACACCATCAGCCACTCCCCAGGATCATCCGGAGAGCAGACTGAGCCCCCAACTTGAGCTGAAAAAGACCTCATCTTCTGTTTCATTATCTTCCTGTCTTCTGCATCCCTCTTCACTTTATTATACAAAGAACCTACTCTTTCTGTTAGCATCACAGAAACTAACTCAGTGACGGGTCAGCAGCCAGACTCTAGTTGGCTTCACCAGCCTTCAGCTAAGTGGCTCAGGTATGTCTGCAGAAGCTTTGCTGTTAAGATGAGATCAGAAGCAGGAGACCACAGGTGGATTTACACAATCCAGATGAAGTTGTCTGCTCCGCTGGTTAGGAGAATAATAGTTAGATCAAATAAATGAGGGAAAAGTGATGTGACTGATGTTGAAAATAGTATGTTTTAGCTGGAGTGTTGCCAAGCCACTTTGGTATAAGATCTTCTGTAATTTTACTGTAGCTGCCACTTAAATGCAATAATCGAGACTATATCCATGAGAAAGAGATGATTTGCAGAAGTTGCCAAAGCTTTAGTCAGATTATGTAAGCAACGTTCAGTGTTTTAGCCAAACCAGAACTATTGGAATAGGAAATTTTCTTCATGAGAGTTTCAGAATTTTCCTTATTAGAACTAGAAGCATTCTAGGGCAGGTGGTTTCTTTTACTTTTTGTCTTGGACCAGTTCCTTTCTACTTCCTAGCGTCTCTAGTGAGTGGAAAAAGATCATTGAAATCTGACATGAATTAAAGTACTCAGAGCTCCCTTAAACAATGTGTAAAGCAGGCAACTCAATTTGGGGGTCTTATTTTACCCAAGCTTGCTCCTCTTTGCTGTTTACCGATCTCTTGTTGAAGCAAATCCGAGGAGCACTAGGGAATCAATCTCTCTGCCCATCTCTTTCTGCCTCTTTTCTCCCTACCCAGTCTGCTTTGCACAATTTTAAGAGCAATTCTCTGAATCATCATTTGATTATGTTATTCCCCACTGTCTATTATAAAGTGCAGAATGCTTAATCCGATTCTCAGCTCTTCAGCACTCTTGCATCAGTCTTTTTTATTCGGCTGCTTTTACCTACTATTATTCTGTTTGAACTGTTCTGCATGCCTTGCCCTAAACAAGCCTTGTGTTTTCCCACGGACCATGCTGTTCCTGCTGCCTGGAGTGCCTTTTTGTACAATGTAAATTAAAATGCATCCATCCAACATGCCCACCTCCAACTCCTACCTACTTCACGAAAACCCCCTGGCCATGCCACCCACAGAATTGCTGTCACCACTTTGAACTCTTGTTACCTGCAGATAGCTTGTCATTATGATTATTTATACAGGCTAGATAACGGAGAGCAGGAGCAACATCTCATGTGTTCGTATCACCTGCAGTACTGACATGGTCTTTATTGAATGCCCACTGAGTACATTGCTGAATTAATATACAATGGTGTTAATGAGATTAATGTTAACTTTATTCATTTCCTTTTGTCTCCTTGTCTCTTTTTCTCTCATTTCTCTTTCTTGCTCAATACAACTTCATTCATTTCTTTTTGTCTGTCTTTTTTGCGCTCGTGTTTTTTTTTCTCTTTCTTGCTCAATACCCCTCGTCTCCTCTTTTTATCTGTTTTCCTTCTCTGTCCTGTCCCCAGGGGAAATGGAAGAACTGGAAGCTCTCTGGCTCACTGGCATTTGTCATAATGAGAAGAACGAGGTCATGAGCAGCCAGCTGGACATTGACAACATGGCTGGGGTCTTCTACATGTTGGGCGCGGCCATGGCTCTCAGCCTTATCACCTTCATCTGCGAACACCTTTTCTATTGGCAGTTCCGGCATTGCTTTATGGGTGTCTGTTCTGGCACGCCTGGCATGGTCTTCTCCATCAGCAGAGTAAGTGTTTTGATTTAAATGCCTAGATCTTGTTAGGGACCACTTAGCCTAGTACTGTGTGAAGCGGAGAGACCCAAGAGGACACGATCTCCAGCCCCAGGTTGCTTAAGCAAGAAACCACATCATGTATCTTTCCTTAGGAGTTTGTGTGATATGATTTCAAGTGGCTCAAAAAAGTGGGTGATACTATATTTCCTTCAAGAAACAGCTTTCTGTGTGGGATTTGGGCATTTGGTTCTCTAAAGAACTGGCAGATCTGTCAAAATGGAAAATTTGGCTTTTTACCAAATACCTTTCATCACCATTAGTTAGTTCTGTATAACTTGTATTAATTACCTAATCCTTTAAAACTATACCTTTGTATTTAATTAATGATGTGTAACACCTCTCTCTTATTTGAACATACAAAGGTATAGCTTTTGTTTTGGGTTTTTTTTTTTGGTATATTATTAGTTGTTTCACTCTATGTTTTAACCATGTGTGGGTTATGGAGAGTTAAAGAGAGCTTAGCAGAACCTTCAGAAATAATTTCTGACTCATAAGAAATTTACATTCCAGAAACTTCCCTAGTTGGAGCAAGAGTAAAACTCTTAGGTCATTCTTTATTTAGGTCGCCTCTTCATTCCTAGTTCAAAATGAGACATTAGGAAGATAGTTTTGTGTATGAGCAGAAGGTCACAGGGAGTTTTTTTAAAAAGTGAGCTTCTTTTGATTTTGTTAATAAAGTAGAGAAACTAATTTGTGAGAGGTGAACTCAAATGTCCTTTTAGAATGGAGGTTCAGGTTCCAGATATGGCCAGCTTTGACTCAAATGGAGTTCTGTATTAATGAGAAATCAATTTTCTCATTAAGTTATTTCATCTTTTCATCACTTTCCTATCAGCATTTTACTGATTGATAGAGAACAATTTCTCCATTTCCTCTCTGGCTGAGAGTTAAATCAGGCCATCGAGTGAGCTCAGAGCAGGAGGATGGAATTTGGGGTGGTGATGATCCCTTTCCTGGTAGCCATTCCCTAAGATCTCAGATAGCGGAATGCCGGAAGTTTTGGGAGTTGGTGATCTGTAATAAAAACCCCACTGATAATCCTTTGACACAATCAATGCCTCTATAGAGGAAAAAAAGGCTTGGAATTTTCTCTTGATCTCAATCAGGAGGGGTGAGGAAGAGAACTGGGAAAGTGGAATAACCTTACCTTGAAGATCTTCTATGTTGCTGATGCCCTGGGGGACAATGAGCACCTTTCTTCTTTCCCATTTAGCTACGATTCTTCTTCTAACCTTCTCCCCTCTCATTCCCATCCATTGGGACAACTTTCCTTTTCAAATTAGTCCCATTTGTTGTAATGATGCAATTCAAACAACCTCTTTTCAAATACTTTCCCTAGCCAGGGAGAAAAGTTCCAAGTTTGTCCACCTTTCCAGGTAGGGAGCAAGATGTGAGCAGGAGGTTGCCTTGACTTTAGAATCAAACATGCTGAGCCCTCCAGGAGCCCAGCCCACTGCCTCTCCTGGACAGTGTCCTTCAAAGCCCTGTACGAGGAGCTGTACACAGGGAGCTCTCAATCAATACTAATTTGTTAAGATGTTAATTATTGATGATGATAGTGAGTGAGTAAGTATAAGGAGGAAAACAGGAGCTAAAGAGAGAATAAATTAGAGAATTCAACAAGGGAGTTATTTATTCCTATTGAGTACTGAATATTTGTCCCAATTCTTCCCTCCCACGGTGTAGAACACAGCAGGAGAAAAATCCTTCTTTGACCCCAGGGCTTCCTAATTCTCTCTCTCTGTGAAATATGTTCATGCCTGGCTCAGTAAGAGAATTGCTCAGCTGTTATTTGGTGACCAAAATTCCAAAACCTGCTTAAAATTTGTCAGAGCTGGAAAAGAGTGGCAGTTGTGAGTTATTGAGCTTTGCTGTGCTTTACTGCCAGCCAGGAGTGGCCAGCCACGGCAGAGCAACCTCAGCATCCATAGAGCACGGCCATTTATCTCCAGGAGGCCGACGATACTTTTTGCTATGGGCAGATATCATGGCCTCATTTTTAAGATGTGAAAATCTAGGCATAGAAAACCAAGAGAAGTCAACGGTGAAGCTGAGGCAAAAATGCCATATCTTACAATTCCAGTCTCTTTGCTCAAGTTATTGGTGTGGCCATGCCTCCTCTTTGATGGCCAGATCACTGACCTCAGCTCATGACATGACAATCAGCAAATTCAGGGCTTATCAGTTAGGCAAGCTTCTAGCCAGATTTTTGAATATATTAAACTGTTCACTTCATGCTTTCCCTGACGTTTTCTTATCCAGTTGGGGCAATTATTGGTGGGATAGTATTTTTTGTGGTCATTTTTAGCCTCTCTGGAGACCTAACCTGTCCCCCATTCTTGCTTCAGGGTATCTACAGCTGCATCCATGGGGTGGCCATTGAGGAGCGCCAATCTGTAATGAACTCCCCCACCGCAACCATGAACAACACACACTCCAACATCCTGCGCCTGCTGCGGACAGCCAAGAACATGGCTAACCTGTCTGGCGTGAACGGCTCCCCGCAGAGTGCGCTGGACTTCATCCGACGGGAGTCATCCGTCTATGACATCTCAGAGCACCGCCGTAGCTTCACGCATTCCGATTGCAAATCCTACAACAACCCGCCCTGCGAGGAGAACCTCTTCAGTGACTACATCAGTGAGGTGGAGAGAACGTTCGGGAACCTGCAGCTGAAGGACAGCAACGTGTACCAAGATCACTACCACCATCACCACCGGCCCCATAGCATCGGCAGCGCCAGCTCCATTGACGGGCTCTACGACTGTGACAACCCACCCTTCAGCACCCAGTCCAGGTCCATCAGCAAGAAGCCCCTGGACATCGGCCTCCCCTCCTCCAAGCACAGCCAGCTCAGTGACCTGTACGGCAAATTCTCTTTCAAGAGCGACCGCTACAGTGGCCACGACGACTTGATCCGCTCCGATGTCTCTGACATCTCAACCCACACGGTCACCTACGGGAACATCGAGGGCAATGCCGCCAAGAGGCGCAAGCAGCAATATAAGGACAGCCTGAAAAAGCGGCCGGCCTCGGCCAAGTCCCGCAGGGAGTTTGACGAGATCGAGCTGGCCTACCGTCGCCGACCACCCCGCTCCCCTGATCACAAGCGCTACTTCAGGGACAAGGAAGGGCTACGGGACTTCTACCTGGACCAGTTCCGAACAAAGGAGAACTCACCGCACTGGGAGCACGTGGACCTGACCGACATCTACAAGGAGCGGAGTGATGACTTTAAGCGCGACTCGGTCAGCGGAGGAGGGCCCTGTACCAACAGGTCCCACATCAAGCACGGGACGGGTGACAAGCACGGCGTGGTCAGCGGGGTACCTGCACCTTGGGAGAAGAACCTGACCAACGTGGAGTGGGAGGACCGGTCCGGGGGCAACTTCTGCCGCAGTTGCCCCTCCAAACTGCACAACTACTCCACGGCAGTGACGGGTCAGAACTCGGGCAGGCAGGCGTGCATCCGGTGTGAGGCTTGCAAGAAAGCAGGTAACCTGTATGACATCAGCGAGGACAACTCCCTGCAGGAACTGGACCAGCCAGCTGCCCCAGTGGCGGTGACATCAAACGCCTCCACCACCAAGTACCCTCAGAGCCCGACTAATTCCAAGGCCCAGAAGAAGAACCGGAACAAACTGCGCCGGCAGCACTCCTACGACACCTTCGTGGACCTGCAGAAGGAAGAAGCCGCCCTGGCCCCGCGTAGCGTGAGCCTGAAAGACAAGGGCCGATTCATGGATGGGAGCCCCTACGCCCACATGTTTGAGATGTCAGCTGGCGAGAGCACCTTTGCCAACAACAAGTCCTCAGTGCCCACTGCCGGACACCACCACCACAACAACCCCGGCGGCGGCTACATGCTCAGCAAGTCGCTCTACCCTGACCGGGTCACGCAAAACCCTTTCATCCCCACTTTTGGGGACGACCAGTGCTTGCTCCATGGCAGCAAATCCTACTTCTTCAGGCAGCCGGTGGCGGGGGCGTCGAAAGCCAGGCCAGACTTCCGGGCCCTTGTCACCAACAAGCCGGTGGTCTCGGCCCTTCATGGGGCCGTGCCAGCCCGTTTCCAGAAGGACATCTGTATAGGGAACCAGTCCAACCCCTGTGTGCCTAACAACAAAAACCCCAGGGCTTTCAATGGCTCCAGCAATGGGCATGTTTATGAGAAACTTTCTAGTATTGAGTCTGATGTCTGAGTGAGGGAACAGAGAGGTTAAGGTGGGTACGGGAGGGTAAGGCTGTGGGTCGTGTGATGCGCATGTCACGGAGGGTGACGGGGGTGAACTTGGTTCCCATTTGCTCCTTTCTTGTTGTTTTAATTTATTTATGGGATCCTGGAGTTCTGGTTCCTACTGAGGGCAACCCCGGTGACCAGCACCATCTCTCCTTCTTCCCAACCCCTCGCTCTGTCAGCCATTCCTGTTCCCATGAGATGCCGCCATGGGCCCTCTCAGCAGGGGAGGGTAGAGTGGAGAAAGGAAGGGCTGCATGTGAGCTTCCTCCTGGTGTAGAAGAGCTCCTTGCCATCCTCTTTGAGTGACGCTGGGAGAACCGAAAAGAGGCCATGTGAGCACAAAGGTAGCTTTTCCCAAACTCATCTTTTCGTTTCGGTGAGGAAGCAGAAGCATCTACGTGAGACCATTTAGCACACTGCTTGTGAAAGGAAAGAGGCTCTGGCTAAATTCTTGCTGCTAAGATGACGTCTGTCTAGGACTCATGTGCCAAGCAGAGGTTGGGAAGCCATGTGTGTTTATATATAAGCCAAAAAATGCTTGCTTCAACACCATGAGACTCAATAGTGGTGGTGAATAGGAACAAAAGGTCATTGGTCGGGAGTGGATTCTTGAACAGATGGGAAAGTATATTGTGACAATGTCCCATGGTGCCCTGGAGGCAAGAGCAGCTGGCTTGTGCATGCATGTGTGTTCATGCACACTTGCACCCACGTGTAGTCAGGTGCCTCTGGAAAAGGCAGCCCTGACTCTTCTGTTGTTTCGATATCCCCAAGCAGTGTGATTGTTTGGCTTATATACAGACAGAGATGGCTGGCTGTGTCTCCCTTCATCCTTCCTGAATAAGGAGAATGAAAATTATTGACAGAGAAGATTCTGTGGTCTAGATAAAAAAGGCAATGTGCAATCCTGCAAGAGCAAGGTATAAAAACAGCTCCTCCGTGGCTGGCAATCGTTTCAACCAGTTTGAACCTAGAACTTTCCAGGAAGGCTGAAGGGAAACAATTTTCCCAGCCGCGATTCTTTTGCCCACACTTGGGAGCAAAAGATTCTACAAAGCTCTTTTGAGTTTTTAGACTCTTGACTAGCCAAGGTTTGGGGAGGAGTGAAGAAGCCTTTGAAGCAGCAAGGAGTCTGTATGGTAGGGTAAGTGAGAGAGGGGGATGTTTCCAATGCTTTGATCCCTTCTTACTTAACCTGAAGCTGGAAGAGCAGGCTTCTTCCCCCAAAACTGATTACAACCGCTATGGAGGAGACAGTTAAGAGAAATGAGCTTGCCTCCATGAGTGCAGCTCAGGAGGCACGAAGAGAGGGGAAGAGACTTGGCTTTTGGGGAGGGGAGCAGAGAGGGACTCTCTACCACCTCTTTGGGCCTGGCTCCCTAGCGATGTGACTTGAGCCTAGCGTGAACACTCTTGGTAGAAGCCCTTCCACCTGCCTGCAACACCTCCTTTCCCTCTCAAATTGTACCACTGAAGAATAACAAAAAGATACGTACATGTATAAAACTCCAGGGATGAGGGTACCGGCAGACGTGATGCCCCCTCCATTTAACATTGGAAAATTGAGAAGGGAAATGAATATGTGTCACTGCCGGTCCTGAAACTTGGGGTAGGGCTGTTCTGTGGGTAAGTTCCACTGTCCTGCCATCCTCCCCTACACAGGGAGGCATCCAGAGAGCCCCGGGTCTATGTGGAAGCTTGACTGCAGGATCGCCATGTTGCACACAGGACACATAAACCAGAAAGGTGCTCATCCTCCTCTGGAAGGAAGCTACCATGTCTCTTCAAGTCACTCCCTCCAGGGCTGCTCTTCGCCCCTGTTCGCCCTCACTCGCGACCCTTCCTCATCCTGCCCTTGACTGCTGCCCCCGACCCTTCTCCTTGATTTTTACCTCAGTATCTTTCATTTTAAAGCCAACTGAAGGCCTTGTAAAGCTTTGTTTCCTTTCTAAAATGAACGTGGGGGCAGGGGGCTGAACCTCTCACAGATCTGCAGAGAGGAGCACGGAGTGCTTCACCCTAGATAACAGGAAAGACTGAGAGAGAGGACAGAGGGCGTGAGGCACCTGCAGGAGGAAGAAGGCGAAGGGCCGTGTAAACACCGCTTCGCCCTGACTCTGTCCAGGGGTCAGGGATTCATTCCCTCATCTTCCTCTTACCTCACCCCTTTCAAACAAAAAACCAAACCAACCAACCTAGCGAACAGCAATCTAGAACCAAGGGGGCTCTTTGTCTCCGCTGGCGACAGAAATCAAGATGGTGTTTATTTCATATGTAAATATTTTGTTTTCTAATTAATTTTGTATAGATAAAGTGTTCTCTTGTGAGTATTCAGGGTGTTGGGCTGGAGGGAGTGGGGTGGGGATGGGAACGAGAGGGAAAAAGTGTTTCGTTAATGGGTTTTCATTTTCCATTGGGGGAATTGTTTTGTATGGCTTTTGCTTCAGGGTGTCTGGAAAAAGTGAATGCCCATGGAGGCCATGATTGTGAAAAGCCAGGGGAAAGTAATTTGTGTCCATCCCCCCAACACCCCAAAAAAGTCTTCTTACCGGTCTGTGAGAAATGTTCATGCACTTTGCCAGGCTTCACGTAGGGTTCAATTTGGCTCTACAGAGACCCCAGGTCTGACTCCGACTAGGTAGACACTAGGTTAGTGTATTCCATGCACACACAGGCTGGTGGCAGCATATGTCCTGTCAGTACCTAGAGTAGGAAAGATTCCCAAAAGGGCTTAACCAGAAATAAGGTCAAATTAACTTCCCATTTTTGGTGTGACTGAAAGGTTTCAGAAAGCTCAATCCTGAGAAACCTCCCAGCGGTCTCCTCTGATGCTGAAACAATGATCTCAGTCGTCTGACTTTTCTTCCTTAGGACCTGGGCGCTGACCCACTCCCTGCCCCATCTCCACCCTTAGGAAACAGCCTGGCAAGCACACCTGGAGAAATCTCCACTAACTCTACTTTTTGAAGCAAGTGATATCTGGTCACAGAGAGGTAGTGCTGGATATGTGTTTTACAAATCTGCATGCTTGCCTAGAAAAGGTGACAGGATCCACTAAAAACTCAGTGGTGAGATTCCCTTAGCAACGTTGCTGAAGTTAGGTTTAGAGGTGCGGGGGTGGGTATGTGAGCAACGAACGATGCCCATGGTGGCTCTTTATTTGCCTTGTCCTCATTACTGCCATCAGGAAGGTGCTACTGACCTCGAGCCAGGTGTTCATAATCTGGCCTTGGGTTAACCAGATAAATAGAACTTCTTTTCCTAGACTGTTGGCTTTGTGGTTGGCCGCCTGTATCACAGGATAAAATTTCCAAATCCATTTACCCAGTATATTCACAACAGTTTTTCCTATCCTCCCATTATGAAAGCTGTTAGCTGGATAATTTTATTTTTCTAAACTCTTTATTTGGCCCCGATTGGTTGCTTTTCTTTGACTGCTGTTTGCATTGAGACTTAGTTACTCATGGTCTGCTCAAGAAAACTTAAAGAAAGGCTGGACATTGTTAAAATCTAGATGTTACTTAATTCTAGAAAAATAAGCAAGTAAAATGCATCAGGAAGAATTCAGCTCTAAGCCCAATCTGTATCACAGATGGGATGAAACAATACCCAATCCATCCAAAACTGTGAGATTCCGCCGATATCCTCAGGAGCACCTAATATTCCCATGTTCTTAAGAATCCATGCTTTCTCTCTTTGTACCTCTATTATTCCCCTCCATTGCAGAAGTGGTTGGTGAGCGTGGTCCTGTATCAACTCCTTTCAGTGGCAATGCTTAAATCTCAGCATTTCCACTGACCTCAATAATCTGACCCTTGAATTTGTGAGTCGAGAATGTGCACACCCTTCAAAGTGATGCATGTGCAGTGGACTTTGTTATTTCAAAATCTGTCACTGTGTATCCTCGGCCAGAACTTGGGAAACATCCTTCATGTGTATTCCCCTGCACTGGCTACAGCCACGCTGTGACTGAGGGGAGAATCCCAAATGATTCCATTAAATGTTGCTGGTGGCAGTAGTGCCAAAACGCATGTATGACGTGATACAGTAGGAGTCGTCTGTACAGTTAAGTGACTATCACCCACCCGGTCTTCCGTGGCCATCGGGAGTTGCCCAAGGAAAAATTCTCTGCAGAGTGCTGGTCACCTGCACATGTCATTAAGAACTAGGTTTCTTTGGTTCCTCTTTTTTTTTTCTTTTTCTTTTGGTTGTTTGGTTTTTAGTTCAAGATTTAGGGACAGAATAACCAGATTGGACAGTAAGCTTTTGGAAAAGCATTCCAGAACTCTATTCTTTCAATCATCATTTCTCTATAAAGGCCCTGTCATTGCTTGACACCCTGTGAATGTCTGTTTTTGTATGTTAGGAATGATTCAGACGTGTGCACAAATGATGTCACTGCAGTGATATTGATGAATGCATTCGGCATTTCCAGGGACTGTGGCCATACCGTATGTGCGCTCTGAGCCCAAAGCCATATAGGAAACATATGCTCAGTAGGCTGCTACACACTGCAGCAGAGCTTTTGCTTCTTCACTTGGGTGTCAGAGACTTTTCCTCCTGTTTAAGGAGCTCTCCATGGAGGAGCAGCCGCTGAAGGTGGATAGTCACACTGGGACGGGTCTGGCCTTATGTGGTCTATGGTGGCTGAAGGTCCTGAAAAGGTCCTTCCTTTTCATTCACCACCCCACTCCAACTACTGCCTTCCCACACAGATGTGTTGCTTTAGCACTGAGCTGCCTGTCATAATCCCAGGAAAGGAGACATATTAAGCCATATTAGGGATTTTTACATTTAATCACCGAATTTACATTAGGATTCTCACTCCTTTTCCTGGGAATACATTATAGGAGAGAAGAGGAAGAAAGCAGAGAGCACTGAGAGCAATAGAGTAGGGAACGAGGATACAGGTTCTAGATGGTAAAGACATTTAGACCATATTTTAGCCTCCATCTGCTTTAAGGCCCATATGACACCTAAATAGGAATCCTAGTTGGAAGTTATTTTTAAATAACGAGTGTATAATTTATGGATTTCTAAATTCAGTATCTTGTAGGAAAGTTAAGAATATGATTTTTTTTTTCTATAGAAAATGGAAGACTGGACTGGACGTGGTGGCTCATGTAATCCCAGCACTTTGGGAGGCTGAGGTGGGCAGATCACCTGAGGTCAGGAGTTTGAGACCAGCCTGGCCAACATAGTGAAACCCCATCTCTACTAAAAGTACAAAAATTAGCCCTAAACTTGGTGGTGGGTGCCTGTAATCCCAGCTACTCAGGAAGCTGAAGCAGGAGAATCGTTTCAACCCAGGAGGCAGAGGTTGCAGTGAGCTAAGATAGCACCACTGCACTTCAGCCAGGGCAACAAGAGCGAGACTCCATCTCAAAAAAAAAAAAAAAAAAAAAAAAAATGGAAGCCTGATACTTCTCCTCCATTACATGTTACTGAGTAGGCAACTAGAAAGATCAAACTGAATTAATGATACAGTAAAAAGTTACAGTCATTGTCTGGTCTCTGTCCCAGTTTAATTAATCTTCCAATTAGCAGGGTTAGTCTATATCCTATACTTCCCACCTCCATGGGGGGTACCCAGCTATTCCAGTAAAAGAGTCACTTATGATCTCAGGTGCTACTTAATCTGTGGGGCAGTTCTTTCTTGGGCCTATCAGATGTTTGGAATGACACCAAAATGCAGATTAGTTAGTCTAAGAATGTCTAATATTGATCTGTATTCTAGGGGGGTGTTCCAGTATTGTATAAAATTGTGGGATATCTGACAACATCCCACCCTCAACTCATTCCAACCACGTTGACTCGGCCACACAGGGGCCCTATGAGTTCTATGACTTAGAAGAGATAGGCTATCTATTCCCATGACCAAGGCCCCCACCCAAAACCTTAAATTGAAAATCAGTGCTGTTACTTTCACACCTTGGAGAGATCTGTGACGTTAAGGGCCCCTCATTTACAATACTGAAGCAAGAAAAAAAGAATTTTGTTCAGAGTAATGGGTTAGAATAGCAATGCTGGGAATAAGTGGGGAAAGTGAGAAATCATCCACATTTCTCTCTACATCTCTCAGAGCTCCTCACGGAGTTTCTGGAGCTGTTTCATGCTTTGAATATAATTGCTGGTGTGATTATGAGGGTAAGGGCTCCTGAAAGAACTGAAGGTGAAAAGCAGAGTAGATGAGTAGAATTCCTCAGAGCCTTGGCACTCTGGTGTGTAGAATCTGTGTTTTGGCAAAGGGAAAAGAACTCAGTGCAAGAATTAAGGTACAATTAAAAAGCGCAACACTTAGCCCAATTTAAACTGTTATTTTAAAGATTGGGTTTCCACACTTTAAAGCTGAACTCCTTTATCTGTAATTATTTTAGTGTTGTGATTTAGGGGGTGGAGCAGATTCTAGTACTATGCAGGAGAAAAAAAGCTGTCTGCTTAAATATGTGAGTTTAATTAAACTAATGTCTATTGTGCACATACTACATCCCTAGGCTAGTTCTGTGAACAATATAAAAGGTTTAAAAATGGAGTATATCATACTCACATAGAATGTATGAATGCATAAGTATAAAATGTATGTATGTATTAATAGGTATGCATACATTTGTATGATTATACATGCAAGTTTAATATTTTCTGGTTTCAGGGTATGAGTCAAAGATATCCATTATGTTATTTGAAAAAAAACATTGCCATTGAGATTCAGCTTTCTATATCAAGGCCAGGCCTAGACTTCTTTTGAAATTACTGCACCTCCCTGAGCTAAAACTCTGGAATTTCCTCTCTGACCACAACCTTGCATTTTCTACATCTTCCTCCTTTCAAGACTTCTCTGTTGTTCTGGTCCATAAACCCATCTGTCTTCACCGACTTCCCTCTTTGGTCTAACTCTGTGTTCATCCACATTAGCAATATTCTCACTGGCAATTCTTTTTTTTTTTTTTCTAGCCATCTCACTACACCAACCATGGTTAGCTAACTACATCCCTTCCCCTTGTCATTCACTGCATCTCCAAGAAGAGAAGGTCTTAACCTGTGCTAAAGAGCACAGATTCAATCCATTTAATCTCACCTGAACCCTACTCACTCGGACAACTTTTTAATTTCTCCAGTGTTGACTCAGTGTCACGTTCTGTGTTTGTTAAATTTGTTTTATTTATCTTTCAAGTTCATGTCCTGTCTTTCAACAGGCAATATTTCCTACTGTGTCTTCAAGAAAATATGTGATCATTGAATCCTCACATAAGCTGTCCTCTCTGCCTTTAGATTTCTTGTCTTTCACTCATCTTTTCCATCTTTCCTCCCCACAGAGGGCCCCTCTTCCCTATGCTCTGACCTCTTCTGAGCTGCTCTCCAGCCAATTGTACTTCTCTCTTTTGCATCTTCAACTCCGTATCTACTTGCAACTGTCTCAAAAAATCCAATCCTACAGGCGTCTCTAAAGGCAAATCTCTCAATCCAATTTGACTCTTGAATTTCTGTCCTATCTGTTTATCTTTTCACTTCCCCACTTCTTAAAAGGGTATTCGTTCTCCACTTTCTCACCTTATGCTCCTGGCTTCATCAATGGGCTGCACCCTACCACTCTTCTGAAATGACTCTCAGGCAACAGTCCAATGAAGTTCTTGTTACAAAAGTCAATGGCCTTCTTTCTTTACTTTCCCTGCTCTTCGGACTCACTGGGAGGCAATAGAGTCTGGTTTTAATCGTAGTTCTCTTGTCCTGTTACCTCGTTGGTTCCTGCTCTTCCTCCTGTCTCCTCAGCATTGACTTGCCATGGTGTTCTGAGCTTGACCCTCTTCTTGTCTTCATGCTTCTGTAGCAATCTTTGTTTTCTATGACTTCAATAACTCTTCGAATGAAGGTGAATCCCAAATCTTCACTTTTGGCCCCTACCTTTTGCTTTGCCTTAATACACATACTTCCAGTCACCTTCCGAACAGCCAACTTCATGTTGACTCAAGTATCCAAGACCATTGCTACAGACCAACATAATCACCAGGTTCCTCCTTTTGCTTAATGGTACCACCATATCTTCTGTCACCAAATTCAAGCTTTTCAGGCACTTTTGCCTTCTCCATTTTCTTCACCCTGCATATCTAATAATTTGAAAAGATTTCCAGTCTTCTCTTTTCATTCAGACCCTTCCTTCTAGTTGGGATTATTTCAACATCTTTTAGCATTGTTACAGTATATTATATTTGACTCTACTCTTACCAGTACTCACTTCCTAAATATAAATCAGATCATGTCGTTCTTCAGCTCAAGAAACAACCTTCAGTGGGCTTCACTTGCTGTAGTCCACCAGCAATAACTTCTTGTTACTTGACTGTGTGTGTGCCCCATAATCCAGACAAGCTGAACCAAATTTGTTCCAACTTTCCCCACCAGTTTGCTTTCCCACCTGCGTCTTCCCTTTGCCCAAAATGCTCTCCTTCCTATCTCCCATTTCACTCCCTTCTTGAATAATATCCATCCCCTCCATAGAAGTCTTCAAAGACCAGAACAATTCTTTACCTTCCATCCAGAAAATAATTTTAGGCATTTTATGAATGCCCATAACATTTTCGTTGTGTCTTCCTAGTGGCAGCTATCATGAGCCATCTTATTTCATAGGTATTTGGTTATACGTCTTCATCTCTCCCGCTAGAGCATAAGCTCCCTGTGTTCGGGGCCATGTATTTTTAAATCTTTTTATCTCCTGTAGCACTAAACAGAGTACCTTGTATATGAAAGGCATCAGTAAATATTGGCTATTATTATAAATTACAATCGAGAAGGAGTCACTTTATTTTGCCCCTTTGGGTCAGCAGTAGCCCCTAAGGATGAATCCCACGTTTCTTTCTACATTATCTGCACAATCACATGTATAGGCTACATATGTACAGTTCCATGTTAATAATTATTTCAAATGAAGTCTGGATTTTTCTAAGTGCTTCATCCTTTGAAATCCTTCTGGACTGTTGTACGGTTAGAAAGTGTACTTGGAGCACTTCATGTACACAAGCAAGTAAGTGACAGGGGGAGAATCGGTGAAGGATATTGATCAGATTTTAGGCATCAGCTTTTCAGATGCTTTGGGTAGAGCTTGTATCCAGACACTTCACTACTAAGATTGAGTCTCTAACAACCTGATCCATGCTGGGATTTGTCTGTCTGTGATCCAATATGTAGCTTCTTTTTTAACACTTGCAGTACCAAGAGAACCTTGTCACAGTTCCGGCTCACTAATCCCACAGCCTTGTAGACCCAGGTGGTGGTGGTCCAGTAGGACCACTGTATTTCACCACACGCTACTTCCACATTTGTGGCCTTGGAGGAACTGTTTGTGCTGGTCACCACCTTGTCTTGATATTGCCTTCCTGGGCTCTGTGGCTTCTCACCCTTTCTGAGGCTTTGTCTGCAGGGTGACTTCTCCGAAAGGGAAGATAAGAATTGAGGTAATTGAGCACTTTACCTCTTATCTGTATGTTTACAATGAAAGTAAGTTGGGATTTGAATGAGCTGGCTTAGAGAGAATCCTAGTCTGGAAACCACTCCTTTCTCTGTAAATATAAAGGGATTCATTACCTCAGGGGGGAGACATGGCTTCTGACCTTACGGCCCTCCTGTATCCTCTGGTCCCTATATTCTTGGAGCCCTGTTTACCCTTCCTCCTTCTCACTTGGCTATAGGCTATACTTAGAAGTCCATCATTCCTTCTAGCCAGTGCCAGCCTCTGTCCCTCGGAAGAAGCTTGGAACTGCTACTGTTCATTCACTTCAGCTGGTCTGGTAACCGGTAACGATAACGTTCCCTTTCCTTCTGGCCAGCCTTCTCTATAAATCTCATTATGCCATTGGCCATGAATTATTCCCCTTTAGGAGGCATCTTCTGCCACTGTGTGCTAATTTAAAGCATACTATGGAGAACTGAACTCAAATAAGTTACAGGCAGTGACAAGTCTCTTTTTCAAAAAAGTGAATGAAGTCCATTCTTCACTGAGACAGGAGTGGGTAGGACAATTATTATTGGCAAGGTAGGACAAAACTTGTGACGACTTGGGAGATACACCTATTAGAAATTAAAATACAAGTGTAGAGAGAGAATTTTGCTTTTCAGAAGTCCTATTGGGTCTAGATAGTCTTGCTCCTTAAAATGAGAAGAGTTAACATTTTAGAGCAAAATCCATTTTGTTATACAATGAGACCCTTTTTTTAGCTGATGAAACAAATAATCTGGTAACAGCTGGTGGAAGGATAGGAAGACAGCCATCCTCATGAAGGACATTCATGAATCTCATTTGGGCCAATGAGTGGACCAAAATTCTAGGCATTTTATCCATGAAGTGTTCACGTCGATTATTTTGCCTTCAAATACCCACAAAAGGAAAGGGAGGATATAAAGAAGGAAAAGAACAGAAAGTCTACAGCGGAGCTTCCTTTGTTTCACCAGTAAAGCCAGAAGCTGACGTGTGAGGCATATGGGTTCCCCTTGGTTACTGGCCTCATTGATAGGTTCAGAAAGTAGGGAACCTTGAAAGAGCAAGGCCCAGAGCTGAGATAAGTGAGGAACCTGAATGCAACCTTATCTATGAGGTCCTGATATCCACAAGGAGACTGGCCCTGTGTCATTCCCTTCAGACTACAGCACCCACAGAGCCCTTGATCATCACCTGGGCAGAGAGAGTGACTCATCATACCACCCTTACCCACAGAATAGAGGCCACCAGGTGTGATTCCATCTGTCCCCATTGCAGTAAGAGACTCACAGTCTCTAAGAGACACAGGAGAACAGTGTCAAGGGAAGAGGCCACAGGAATGTGAATGTGCTGAGCTGCCTGCTCCTCTAGGATACATATATTACTGGTTCCAGAGGGGATTTTTTTTTTTTTTAACAAAATGAAACAAAACATGCCTGTCTAAAATTTCAGCCCTATTCAGAGCAGTCTTGCAGTTAACTGCCATTGTCACTGTCCCATTTTAATTATAATTGATTTTCTTTTGAAATCAGTAGCTATATCAATGCTCCCTATAGCCATGACATAAGAACCCTCTGCAAACCAGAGACCTGACCACTATATTGTCTCTGGCTGAGTTATGCTCTCAGTAGTTCGCAAATTGCTCCCACATATTCACCCAAACAGCACAACTGCACAGAATTTGATCTCTTTGCCAAGACCACCTCATGCCTATGCACCTCCCTAAGGCACATACAACCTTAACAAATGGATCCAAATGGCCAATGTCAATCATGTTACGGTAGACGAAAGTGTTCATTTAGATGGAATAAACAGATATGTTGTAATTTATGCAGCCAGTGATTTTTCTTTTGCTCTACCTGGCTTGTGGATCATTGATGCCTCAAAGGTTGACAGAAATATTCAGGCTTCATGTGAAGGCAGCATTTTCTATGTGATGGAACAAACCTAGTTATCCTGTTCACTGTCCTGTTTTACCCTATGGAATCTGTGTGGCCTTCTAAGGGCCTATTGATGGATTGGTGCTAAGAGGATGGAGAAGCAGAAGCCAGTCCCCCGAGAACAGACAGTCCTGTTGCTTAGATACATATTCACACATGTGCCCACATCTCTTCTTGGAAACATCATGAGCAGAGGTGGAGAGGTCTGGTCTCAATGGGAGGAACAGGGATAAGAGAATTTCTTGAGAATAGGGATTCTCAAGGAATCTTGAGAATAGGGATTCTCAAGGAATCTTGAGAATAGGGATTCTCAAGGAATCTTGAGAATAGGGATTCTCAAGGAATCTTGAGAATAGGGATTCTCAAGGAATCTTGAGAATAGGGATTCTCAAGGAATAGGGATAAATGCCTTCAGGAATTCAATAATTTTTCTGTTCACCCTCTCCCAGGGTCAAGAGCAGGAAAAATATCAAGACTTTATATAGGCAGGAAGCAAGGAGGATAGCAAAACATCCAGTTAGAACTCTGAGAAAAGCATAAAGTAGCAAAATTACCTTTTCTTTGATATAAATGCATTTGGAAGTTACAGCTGTGTTTCCTTCATTAACTTTTCATCTCTTGCAGTCTTTACTTCTCTTTCTCAATTTATTCATCTTGAACTATTCTTATCCTGAGTTGGCTCCAAGCAGCCCACCCTCAAAACACACACAATGTTAGCATGAGAAGTTGAGTGAGCGCAGAGCTTAACACATGCATGGTACTTAAGATTTCCAAACCCAAGCACAGTCAATCCCACTGCATTTGATGACTAGGATGGGGCCTGCTGTATATAGCTGGACATCTTAGATTACGGAAAAGAGGCTTTATGTGAAGGTAGCATTTTCTTTGTGGTGGAACAACCTGGTTATCCTGCTGACTGTCCTATTATACCTGGTAGAATCCATAAGGTCCTGTTGATGGATTGGTGCTAAGAAGATGGAGAAGCAGAAGCCATTCTACCGAGAACAGATAATCCTGTTGCTTAGATATATATTCTTTATTACAGGACTGCTCCTGAGACTCTTGCATACCTTCAATGATCAGAGCATTCACTTTGATTATTTCTTTTTAACAGGCACAAGAAATGGGTCACATGGAAATCTGAAGAGTCATTCCTATGTAAAGAGGCCCTGGGCTCCTGCGGTTTAGCCTGCCTCTGCTCTCCTCCTTGGGGGATGGTGGAGGTTCTAGAATAACCATGAACCCAGTAGGTTCCACCACTCTTAGCCTGTGGTACATTCTGAATAAATCACAGTAGTTGGTTTGTGAATACAGGAGAATTTACCATAACCATTTCTCCAAATAACCTCTTTTGACTTGGAAATAGGATCATCTTTCAGTTTGAAAAGTCAAAGCATGACACAATTGGATGATTAGCCAAAAGTAAGATTATACAGAAAATTCTTGGCAGAAACAAAACTTGTCCAAACCAAAACTTAGTGAAATTTCTAACTCTCAGCCTAGCTCAGTGAGTAATGCTGTCTGTCTGCCCCCACTGGAGGTTTTCAGCATTTAGCAACAGAGAAGAGTCATGAAATGTAGGCAGCTTGTTTAGCCAAATCTTTTCTATGAAACTTGCCTTTGCAGACACACACACACACACACACACACACACACACACACACTCCACATAAATCTATAGATACAAGTCAAAAAGGGCAAGAAGAAAGAAAAAATTTGAAAATCAGAAAGGATAGAGAGGTTTCCACAGTGAAGAAAACTTGAAAGTCAAAAATGTTTTGAATTCTATGGGGTAAGATATTGTGAATAATTATTTTCTATTAAAATTTTTATGTAGCATGTAATCCACACAAATAAAAAAACTTGAAAAAAAACTAGGGCAGAGGATTTCTTCGAGAATGCTACACGGGAAGAGAGCCTTCAGGAACATGTGCAGGGGAGCCATGATACTTTGGAGGTGTCGGTAGTTTTGGTCAGCCCACAGTGAGCAGGGCAGCCTCAAAGAAGAGCCCCTTACATACTCTTCTGGGCATCTCTGTCTGAGTTCAAACATACAAGCCTAATTCCAGGATTAAGGCATGAGTTAGCACTGAACAAAAAAGTAGAACGCAGTTCACATACACAATGATTTCCTGAAGAAGAACCTTTAGCCCCAGACCCATAATAAATTACTACCTGTCTATATTCTGAGGAAAGGGAAGCATGGGTGTTCCTAAAATGAATAGTCTCCTGAGAATACCCGTGAGATCTTGATTTTTCTCCCAAGGTTGCAGTGGTGAATTATTTATTAAGCATCCACAGATCAGAGAATCTTGCAACAACCCTCTCTTGCAACCCACCTGTTCACTTATGAATGGTACCAAGCTCAGGAAATAATGCATCTTTCCAAAGATTTTAGTATCTTTAGTTTGTGTGGCAGAAGAAATTTTGGCTCATGTACAGAGCATTACGCTTATACCAAAAACAGTGAATGAGATCTAGTGTCCTGCTTAATGTAGAGTAACTATTTTTTTATTTCATCAGTCCTTCCTAGCCCTAGAGGGAAGATAGGAGAGGAAGTAGGAAGACGGGAAAAGCCCTTCGATGAATGAGTGAGGAGTCTTCTATACCATCAACTTCACAATGTACTCATCCCTGTAGCCTGGTTCAGGAGGCTAGTCTCAGATGATCGGAGCAAATGGAGGAGGTAGCTTTTATTCCCATGCATGAAGATTGAGGGGAGAAGGTAGGCACTAATTTTTTTAAGATCAAAAAAAAAATCAAGCCCATTGTAAATCTCATTTTCCTCTTGTCCTTTTGCCTCCCAATAATTCACATAAAATCATGTTACCATAGTAAGCTAAGAGAGACGGGCAGTAGCTATTCTACTTTGACTTCGTGGTAAGTTCAGTTCATCTCTTTCGTGAGTGTCGCTACAGATACCTGGATCATGATGATCCTTAACAAGAATCATGTTAAGACGATCATATGACCTTAAACAGGGCACAGGGCCAACAGCTGATAAGGTATTTGGAGCCTCTTATTCCCCCAAGATGACCATTCCCTGTCTTCTGCTACATCTATATTCACTGGGGGTAGGTAGGAAAATAGCAGGATTCTTGGGGACCTTGAGAGCATGGAGAATTATTTGATTGAAACCACAGAGTTCTTGTGCATAGTATTAAATATTAAAATAGAAATGAAAAGCTCAACTTTTCTGAGCTGCACCATAGTGGCCAAAGGAGGAAGTCTTACAAAGAAAATCTATATCTGCACAACACCGAAGCCACTAAACCAACAGTACACACAAAATAAAGATACCTTCCTATTCGAGTATATCTTAGGGGGCATGGATGCTCAGGTATCCTATGAAAGGCAGAGAAGATAAGCTCAATTTTCGAGCCCATAGCTCTCTCCTGAGCAGCAAGATCCACATGAGCTTCAACTCTTTCCCACTGAGCCTAGGGGTGGAGGATAATTCCTCTTATGGTTTTGACTTGTTTCCAAGTGAGGCTTCTCCCTTTGGTCATTGGCACCTTGGCAGCTCACACCTCTCCGTGGCCTCTTCTGTAGCTTTCAGAAAAGAAAAATAATAATCTGCCTAACCCTGCTTGGGTAAGGCCTGTTGGCAGAAGCCAGGTATGTGGGTGGAAGTTAGAAGATGGGCAAGGAATTCTTATCTCAGAGTTTCAGCACTGTGACAATGTGGGAAAATGCATGTGCCCAGTAACTTCCAAACTAATCAGAAGTTGGAGTATTTTTGAGACTTACAGTGTCTTTACTTCAGTGAAACAAGCCATAGCAACATTATGCCCTGCACTGTCTTCTGCTCACCCTTCCATGGACAAGAGCTGCTTTTCCCAGGGAGACAAATAAGACCAAGAACAAAACTCCAGCCTTCTGGGCCAGTTAGAAGTGTTTTCACCTTTCCTTTCTTTTTCATTTTCTTTACTACATAATGGGGGAAAAAATCTGCCTGGCCATTACCAATCAAACATTCTACTTGCTAAATATGTTATAGAATTTCATGAAAAAAAAAAAAAAAAAAGTAGAATTAGCAGATTTCATTTAATCCCAAGGGTCTTTGCTCTTTTCTCCCCCTCAAAGTTATCTCTTTGAGTCACCTGGTCTCCTCTTTCCTCTTCTGGGCAGACATGATTCCAAACTGAATTTCAGTGGTTGGTGCTTTGCAAAAAAGACAGACAGCTATAATATAGAATAGACCAAAATACTTATATTTTTAGCCACTGCAAAGTGGGTTTCATTGTTGAGAAAAAGCTTCCAAGCTCTTACCTGGAAACTCTTCCTCACCTCCCAGCCTCCTGGCAGCTCTCCCGGTTCCCCCCCCCACTTTCTTTTCCAATGAAAAAGGGATATATCCCTTCAACTGAATTCTTGTCTAAACTATCAGACTGTTAAAAGAAACCCTTGACAGTAATTTTTCATGGTTTTCTCAACATTTTTTAACTTAGGAAGTTGGAGAAAGAGAATGACACACAGGCAAACAAGGTCTTGTTCCCGGGTGCTTCAATTCAAGGTCAAGTGCTGGGATAGAGAGCGCCTCTTGGTGGAGAGGGATGTGCTGTGGAATATTAAGCAGTCTCTGAGTATGTGCACTGGTGCTTTGGTCGAGATGCCTATTGTGTATGTGGAGACATTTTGTGGCTTTTCTTGTTCTCTTTTTTAATACTATTTCAAGGCACAAGCCCTGTATAATGGAGGATACATGTCTAGCTTGAACATGCTGGTAATATGGTACTGTCCTCAGCTCCCCTTGGCCCTGGGTTCATAGAAGGCAAGTGTTTCTAAATTTCTCACCCAATGAGTTGTTGCATGTTATTTTTAACCATTAATATTGTGTGCCTATTGGAATGAGAAAGAGGTTGAATGGGAAACAGATTCAGTGACAAGCAGACAAAAAGCTTGCTTCTGAAAAATTGTTCTTCACTGAGTTAAAAAAAAAATCTAGAAACAAAGAAGAGGGGAATTGGGGTAGAATGATTTGGGGGTGAAGAGATGATGACACCCACATCCAGATGCTCCGGTGTATTCCCTTAGAGAGTTATTTGTCATTCCCTGCGAGCTCTGGCAGAAGGAGAGGCTGTGCTGCCACTGATGGCTCAGACATGGTAACAGGCTGGCTTTAGAAAGAGGCGTAGGCTTTCTTCCAGGCAACGTTGATAAGCGTTGCAGCTTGATTCTTCAAAACCTTGTCTACAAATGTTTAGGGCAGCTCCTCTCCAATTATTTCCATTCTCCAGTCAAGAAGATTCTGAGTAGAAGAGCCTTGTATGCACTGTTGATTACACTGACTTAAATCGGGAAGCCAAGGGGCACTGAGGATAACTGAATATATCAGGGAAATGGAGTTAGCCAAACCTTTTGTTTTCAATATTGGAATGATTTTGGATCACAAAGTTAGGTCACCTCTGAGAGAGAAAATCTTTTAAATAAAATTGTATCTTTCCATCTCCAGCGAAATAACTAGGTTTCTAATGTGATTACTGTTTACTTCAGGAAGAAAATTGCTAGATTCAATTACAAATAGGCATTTTACAGATTGATTTAATCCTGAGTCTTATGCATATTAACATGAAATTGACTGACTCAGACATAATCTTCTAAGCTGTAAACTATTGCTGACGGGTAGATCGTATGTTCTAAGCGAACCAGGAAGGCTAAAACATTAAGTAATCCTCCCAAATATTCAGCTTCTGCATTTTCCACTACAGTAGTAGGGGATTTGGGAGTTAGACCACAGGGGAGGGGAGGGATAGAGTGTCATGGATCAATAAAACTCAGCGTAACTTTTTTTAACTATTACAAAATAATAATTAACCCAAGGACAATTATCAAACCAGAAAGAAGCATGAAAAGTGAGCTCTGTACTTGCCATTGGTTAGAATTTAGAAACACTTATAATAAATATCTAGGTTTGGGGGAGGAGTTATTTCTTTGCTTGCTTTGCTTTGCTTTGTTTATTGGAGCTCTTATTTGTGGGATATTTGGTCTGTGGCTTCAGGGCATATTTTGGATAAATGACTTATTCATGCATTGATATTTATTGAGTGGAAACCCATGCCAGGCTGTTCTAGTTGCTGGAATATAAGCATGAAACACACAAAGTCCATACTCTCTTGAAGTTTCTATTCTGATGAGAGGAAACAGACAAAAAAGCAAATCAATACATCTCACGTCAGATAGTGCAAAGTGACATGCAGAAAAATGAGGCAGATGAAGGGCGACAGATGACAGGATGGGTGTGGGGTTGCTACTTTTGAGTAAGCAAACATGACATTTAAGTAAAGGTTGAAAGGAAATAAGGGAGTGAGACTTGGTGCTTCCTATGCAAAGGCAAAGAGAAAGCAATTCCAAAGGCCCTGTTGTCAAACCAAACGCTTAGCAAACTTGAGGAAGAGCTGGGAGGAGAAGAGTGTGAGAGGTGAGGTGAGAGACGGGGCAGTAGCAAGTCGGGAAGGGCCTCGTAGGACCTTGTCAGGATTTGGCTTTTACCAAGAGAAAGATGGGAAGTCGCTAGAAGGTTCTGGTCAGAGAGTAATATGATCAAACTTCAGTTGAAGAAGCAGCTTTGGGACTGCTGTGTTGAGATTGTATCCGGAGAGGGAAGACAATGGAAGCCGCAGAAAGACCAGTTAGGAAGCTCTTGCAACAATCCTGGTTAGAGGTCGTAGTTGCTTGGGTCATGCTGTTAGCAGGTGAGGTGATGAGAAGCAGTTGGATTCCGGAAATGTTTTGAAGAATGGATCCGACTCAGTTTGCTGATGAATTAGATATCGAATCAGAGGAAGAAAAATCATAAGAATAACCTTAGAATGTCTGGCCTGAGCTATCGAAAGTTTGAAGTTGCCACTGGTGTTAAGACAGGAATCCTACAGGTGAGGCCCACTGGGAAGGAAAGCCTTAGAGTTAAAGGGGTCTACAGATGTTCCAAGCAGAAATGATTAGGCAATCAGATATATGGACCTGGAGTTCAGGGAACAGGTAGAGCCTGGAATTTGTATGCATTTGGATGGTATTTGAATCCATGATACTGGAACTAGTGACAGAAGAGAATTCTCTGTACTGAGACCCAGGGTGGAGGGTTGCTTAAAGCTCCAGGAGATGAGGAGGGACCAGCACTGGGAGGAGTGGTTAGGGGGTAAAGCAAGTACTACTACTGAGTAGGATAAGACTATCTGGAAACATGGAAGTCATCCCATGATGACCTGGAAAAGAGCTGTTTCAGTGGACTTGTGGGGGCAAAAGTATGACGCGGTGGGCTCAAGAAAGAGTGGAAGGAAAGGAGGTAGAGACAACAGGAATAGGCAATTCTTGAGGAGTTTGGCTGTAAAGAGGACACGGAAATAGCAGATCGTAGAGAATGTGGGTCTCAGGGAGGCACTTCTGTTTTTAAGATGGGAGAAATAACCCGTTTTATGTTGACCAGACTAATCCAGGAGAAAGGAAAAACTGATGATGCCTAGGGGGACAGGACAATTGGAGTAATGTCTTTGATGAAATGAGAGGGCATGGGATCCAATACACCCACAGGGGGACTGGCTTTAGGGGACTAACCAGGTTTGTTTGTATTAGTAGCAGGGAGATAGTGCATTTGGGCACAGATGCAGGTCGGTCGGTAAATGGGATGACGGGAGTATGTTTTTTCTGATTGATGATTTTTAGTGAAATATGAAAGGAGTTCATCAGTCAAGAGTGAGTATAGGGAAAGAGCATTGGAGGTTTTGGAAGGAAGAAGGCATGAATGAGTCATCTAGCCATCCAGCAGCAAGAGTAAGAAACAACAAAAATGGAGGAGACACCAACAATATAGGAGACATGCCAGGTGGCACAAAGGACTTATCTGTGGTTTTATGATCATGTCTTTAAAGAAATTTAAAGTTGTTCTTCAGTCACTTTCAGCTGTTTATACAGGGTGGCAAGTTAGATTGGAACAAGGTTGGGGTATAACCAGGTGAATGTAATGAAAGCAACAAGCCATGTGGAGTTACGGGCAACGGGAGTGCATTCACTCCAGTATTTGGTCATGGAATCCAAGCTGGGTATAGTGGAAAGTGAGGACTTTTAGGGAAGGAGGAACAATGAAGTATATTAGAGGCAGAGGATTGAGATTCGAGCTGGGATTAGTGAGTCAGGGGTCTCAGAAGCAGTAACCTAGAAATTAGGAGCTGGCTCAGAGGGCTGGATGCTTGAGGTTACGGAGTGCTTGCAGTTATTGGTGGTTTGGGGTCTGATATTAGGGTGATGGGCTGAGAAGAGATAGAGGAAAGGTTATAGAAGGAGCAGAGGTCAAGGAACTGAGAGGCCAGGATATGGGAATGATATATGGTGACTTCCATATGACAGGAACATAAATTATGACAGGAATGAGGGAGAGTGATTCACGAACACTTCCCTCACTGCATCAAGTAAGGGGTGCAGCTAGCCTAGTCTGCCATGCATCAAAGCTGGATTTTGTGGTTGCACGATACTTTTAAAGAGGAGGAGGGAGGATGGTCTGGAATGGCAATGAGGGGCAAGGAGGGCAGGCCTCAGGGCATGAGGAAGTTCCAGTGGAAATGCTCACCACCTGGGAGTGCTTCAGGGTCCTCAAAGAGGAGCTGTGTTTCCGTGAGAGCAAGAAGAGGAAATCAACTGTCAGGGTTAAGGCTGGTGATGAACCATGATTCCTAGGTAGGATTTGGGAGTTGGTAAAGGATGGAAAATGGCCTGAGATGGAAGATGTGCATGGGTATCTGGAGATGAAAGTCCAAGTGATGAGTGACTGGGGGTCTTGGGCTTCTTGTGGTGAGTGTCCTAAGAACGGCTGTGGGCATTTGGGGTTGGCTCTAATGGTCTGTGTGTCAGATCGAGGTGGTGATGCTTCAAGTGCCTGGGGTAGGGACTTGCTGGCAGCACTTGGAACCCCTGGTGCCTCTTCCTCAGTCCTGATACTTGTTTTTTTAACTTCCACTAAAAACCCCACTGCTACCTGTGATAGGCCACAGCATATTTTTCTAGATGTCAACAAATGTGATCCGGATTGAGGCCACATTTTGACTATTTACCTTGGAAAGTACACATTTTCACAGGAAAGCTTGTCCTTTCTATTTCAAAGGTTCCCAGCTAAGCTAATGTCTTTGGGGGAATCATAATTCTTTGTTCTTACCTTACCCCTTGCTCATCTTTAAAGAAAAAATCAAATAAAAGGGATTGGAAAGCAACTTTGCTTTTGCCCTATTCTGCTAAATGAAAGTTTTCTCTGATGGATCATTTTGATTTTGTATTTTCTTTTTGTGACAGAGAGAAACAGTGGGACAGGAGCATATGGAAAGGACTGAAAGTCTTTAAAAAGCCTTGAGAGAGAGTTTCGGAGGATCAGGAGAGGGTTAGAAAGAAAAGGACTTTGAATGGGGCTGCATAAATAGGGAGCAAGCGAGGACTCCTGGGGAGGGCCTGAAAAAAGAGGTTTGGCCAAGGAAAGCAGAAAAATAAAAATCCACTGTGTAGGCATTTGGAGATTTAGCAGAAGCAACCTAGAGTCTGCTCCCTGAAACTGGACATCATTTCTGACACACAGGATGCTCTAATTCTATTTCCTGTGCCATTTAAAAAAATCGTTATTTGAGAAGAGAAGCTGTTAGGCCATTTCTAGTGAACTATTTTTCCAAACCCTCACAGAACCCTGAGCAGGGTTGAGTGAGATCACAATCGCTGCTGCTGCTGGTTCAGCCTCTCTGTCCACTAGCAAAGGCAAACCTTTCAGCATGACCGTGTCCTGCCAGCCATTTTCCCCAAAAGATTAAATTGTGTTCATCTTGGCTCATCCAATGCCACATCTCGAGTTCTTGTGTAGATGGTATTACAGCCAACTCGAGAAGTCATACCTTATTTTATGCACTGAGTCCACATCAAACTATTTAGGAAGGAAGAGGGAAGCTAGGGAAGCCAGGAAGCCAAGGATGTATTGTCATGACCTCACTTTGCTTTCTGACCTCCTGGAATCCACTCTTTGGAAGATGAGCGGGAAAACAATGTGACTTCCATTTACCCTGCCTCAGAGCTCCCCTCCTTCAGACTGGCCCCCACCCCTGGTTAAGGGGGTAAATTGGGTATGCCTATTTGTTAAAGGAATTTGTGGGAAGTAAGGGGCAAAACTGATAGAGCAGAGGGAACAGATTCTTGGGAGCTTTGTTACCCAAAGGCCATCCCAGCATTGATACTTCAGAGTAGCCCTGACGCTTGTGGAACATTTCAAGGGAGCTGGAGGCAACATCACAGTGGAGATCAGAGAAGAGATGGGCAGTGAGCTCTTGTCCCTGGGGGAAATCTCTTTTCCTCCCTGTGACAGGAGCCAGTGCTCCAACAGCATCAATTACACTTAGCCACAAGGACTGATGTGTGTGTGCCTGTGCACGTGTGTGAGCGTGTGTATGCGCACGCGTGTGTGCAAGGGGGTGATGATGGAAACCAAATACGCATCCACTGTGGGGGGTTGGGTTTCAAACTCAGAGCCGCACCCCTCCCAAGGTCACATGGCAGAGGGGAAATGGTCATAGCTTTCCTGTGTGATGTCCTCCCCAGGGAGCACAGACGACTCAGGCTTGCCTCGACTCTGCGAGGCCCAGACTCCACACTCCTCCCTGGGGCCGGCTCTCCTCCCTCTTGACTCTCAGATCCCCAGCCCATCCACCTCCAGGTTCTTTTTTTGTTCGTTTGTTTTGTTTCTGTTTTCTGTAAATATCTATTTCTTATTTTGGACATGCAGGGATCAATTGAGATTCTGGAGTGGGGGGAGGGGTGGATGACTGGGTCTTTTTATTTTTTCCTTTCTCTCTTGGATTTTGGTGTTTGAACTTGAAAAAAATAATTACAAGTATATATATAAGCAAATGACTTACCTTTAAACAAAAGAAAGAAGTTGATTTCATTCTTTTGATTTATCTTGTTTCTCATTGGGGTCGGGTGGGGGTGGGGGGCCTTTTGGGTGGAGGGCTTTTTTGTGAGCTGTATAGATTTCCAGTTTGGACTTGTTCAAATGATGCAGGAACAAAAATTAACATGAATTAAAAAAAAAGACAACATAAAAAACAAGAAAAACTTTGTGATGTATAAAAGCTGTAAATAGTCAAAGATTCTTTCTCTTTTCTAATGGCAAATTATTTCTGTCACTTTATATTCAAAAAATAAAGAAACCTACCACAAATTATCAGGGTAAAAAAAAAAAAATCCAGAATCAGAGTTTTTTCTTGGTCTTTGTGCTTTCTTTACTGTGATTCCAAAAACATTGTTAAAAGTGCTGTTTGGGAAAAACCCCTTCCCAGTTGGTTTCTGGTTGTTGGTAGGAGTCCGGGCTGGCGAATCTAGTTGGGTTAGGGTCTGTTTCTACTAGCTGGTGCTGCAGCCCTTTGCTTCTACTCAGCTGCCCTCCTATATTATTCTGAAGCAAATCCCATAATCATATCATTTCATCTGTAAATATTACAGTATCTCTTTTACTAACGGCTCTTTTTAGTGTAACCACAATACCATTGTGACATCCTAATTCAGCCACAATTCCTTAATAACCAATACCTAGTGTTCACTAATTGTCTCAAATGTAATAGTGTTTTGCAAGGTGGTGGTGGGTTTTTTTTTTTTTTTTGTCATCATTAGTCAAATAAGGTCCATACAATTGGTTGCTGTTTCTCAAATGTATTTTTTTAAATTTTTATTATTATTATTATTATTTTTTGAGACGGAGTTTTGCTCTTGTCACCCAGACTGGAGTGCAATGGCGTGATCTCGGCTCACCGCAACCTCCGCCTCCTGGGTTCAGGCAATTCTTCTGCCTCAGCCTCCCGAGTAGCTGGGATTACAGGCACACGCCACCGTGCCCAGCTAATTTTTTGTATTTTTAGTAGAGACGGGGTTTCACCATATTGACCAGGATGGTCTCGATCTCTCAACCTCGTGATCCACCCGTCTTGGTCTCCCAAAGTGCTGGGATTACAGGCTTGAGTCACCACGCCAGGCCTCAAATGTATTTTAAATCTAACTATTTGCTTTTAAAGATTTTCTTGACATATACTTGTTAAAGAAACAGAGCACTTTATCCTTTAGAGATTCCCACGGTTGGATTTTGCTGACAATGAATGAAGTCCAGTGTTAATGAAGACCATGTCAACTGGTGATTGTTTTACTCTGTGATGCATACTTCATTGCTTGGAGGCATCAGAAAAGCCAGCCAGCCCTTGTTTTGCTGATTGTTTCCCACCCGGTCCACAGCCTCACCCGATACTGGCTTCGTATATGGATTCTACATGATCTTTCTATACCTCGATTGCTAAATTATCCAAGTTAAATAATAGTATCTCCCCCTTAGCTATTTCTGGTGAGAAAAGAAAATAGCATAGACATAGTTAGCTTTCCACTTGCCAATCATGAGGCACATTTCAACATCTCTTTATTAAGAGCCACGTGCTCCCGCTATAGTCCTAGTACTGGAAAGAACCTTCTAGAGACCATTTAGTAGAACCCTGTCTCATAGCCAAGGAGCCTCTGTGAGCTCAGGTATGACAGCCCTGGCTGGAAGCCAGCAGGGCTAATCCCTAATTCAGGGCATCTTCCAGGATAATGTATTCCTATTTCTTTGAAGTCATGGTCTCAGAGAGATTCTCTATAAGGCTCTCTCTCGTACTTTCCTTTGTACTGAACAAAAATTCTTGTTTCTCCCTGAACAATTCCAGAAAGTAGCTCTAACAGAAAGCCAGATTCTTCCCAGTTACAGCGATTCTCTTTATTTCTGGAGAGACTAACTTGAACCCCAAATTGTTCTTGTACAATAGAATTGCTTTAACAAGAATCTGAAAATTATACAGTAAGTTTGATTTGAAAATTGAGATTTGTTTTTAAAAAATTAGGGAAAGGCAAGACTTCAGATCTTGGCTTTTTTTTCTTTAAAGACAAGATCTCACTCTGTCACCCAGGCTGCAGTGCAGTGGCATGATTACAGCTTGCTACAGCCTCCACCTCCTGGGCTCAAGTGATTCTCCCACCTCAGCCTCCTAAGCATCTGGGTACTACTGGTGCATACCACCATGCTGGGCTAATTTTGTATTTTTTTTGTAGAGATGGGGTTTCACCATGTTGCCCGGGCTTGTCTTGAACTCCTGGGCTCAAGTGATCTGCCTGCCTCAGCTTCCCATGATGCTAAGATTACAGGTGTGAGCCATTGTGCCCATCTTGGCTCTTTTTAAATAAGGAAGCTTGAGAGTAGTGATCTGGATTCTGGTGGGAACCTCCAGTAGGATATCATGAAAGCTTTGATCATGATCACAACACCTTCAATAAAACAAAGATTTCAATGACAAGGTGAATGCCAGAACTTCCTGAGACTGTGGCAACTGTCTGTCCTTTATACAGCCTACCTCACCCACACCTGGAATCTCTTAAATGGATTAGCTCAGAGGTCTTCTCTGCCCCTTTGCCACCCTGAGGGCCACTGGAAGGGACTATCAGGAAGACCAGTCTAATGAAAGGCTGAGGGAGCACCCGGTCATGTCCCCATCAGCCAACTTTCCCAGAAAGATGGGCCGCCTTGGCTGTCTCAGGATTGGCACTCTTCCTCTGCCTACATCACTAGAAAGATAGAACCTGCCCTGAACACTTGACTTGAAATTTCTATTCTCTATTCTTTTACAAATGCAAACTAATCCATTCAAAAATATAAATGATCCTCTGGAAGAAATTTCTTGTGGAATTCTGGAATCACCAAGAGGATGGGAAGAGACCACCAGAAAAGTGGTCCTGAGACAGTCTGCAGAGCCTGTCAGAACCATTATGCCAACGCTGTCATTTGTGGTCTGCATCAAATCATCTAGACTCTTCCTACCTCAAAACCCAGATGTCAGTCTACCTGCCCTCCCCGGTCAGAGGTTACCTGGAGCAGTTCTCAGTTTTGCATAGTGGAGTCATCTGAGTGTTTCTGAAATAGACATGATGCCTGGGCCTCATCCCCCTCAGAGCCTCATTCAATTGTTCTGGGTGGCTGGGGGGCAGGGGGAGGGTTGAAAACCTGCCCAGGTGATTTTAGTATGCAGCCAGAATGAGAACCACTACGTCAGTGCCTCTGGGCAAAGGGGGCCTTTTATTGACTTCTAATTCCATTCTATGTGGTAGCTGTTTTCTGTCACTGTCACCTCACCATGAGCAACTGCTCACTGCACAGACAGTCACCCTTGGGGATTCCAGTACCTCTTTCCTCCTCCATTGCTGCAGAATGGACATAAGGGAGGCCCCGTTTCATGATTACAACCCCATTCTCTAATTCTGCCTATTTCCGTCATACACGGCTAGATACAGACATACGGCAAAGCTCCTCCATGTGAAGGAAATTCTACACATAAAATTTAAACTTGAAATCGACCTTAAATATGACTATTCTCATGATTATGGGAAGAATATAAAAAATATGAACTTACTCTATGAGGTTGGTTCATTGGCTGTAATCCCTGGAGTTACTCCCCAATTTAAGATCTATGATCTTCTAAAAAGGCACCTCATTTTTCAGCTTTTCATAGCCTGGGTCTTGATTCTCTATGCTCCTCAGTTAGGGAAACCTATCCATAGTGACATTCTTTGCCTGGAAATTAGTCCCTTCCCCTCTTCCAGGCAAACCCTAGGACACTGTGTTTCCCTCAAGCACATGCCCCGTAGTCGAAATAATTACCTGACATCACAGGGGCTTCATCAGGACAACAAACAGTGGGCTTTGCTCCTCCACATCCAATCTTCTTTTAGATGCCCCCACTAGAGCAGGGGCATATTTTTCCTAGTTGACCAGACGGCACCTCTGGCATTATTCCACAAATAAGGGAGTCTAAGTCAAGGGCCAAAAACTGGTGTTCTGAAGACTGATTCTGACCCCAGAATCAGTCAGGAAACTGGCTTTGTGGGAAAGGCACTGCTTTTTGAATATTCAGATTTGAGTGCCTCCAGGGAGTGTCTGCTTTCTAGTTTCAGGCAGCCCCTATCATTTCTTTTTCTTTTTTTTCTTTTTTTGAGACAGAGTTTCACTCTTGTTACCTCGGCCTCCCAAAGTGCTGGGATTACAGGCTTGAGCCACCGTGCCCGGCCGCCCCTACCATTTCTTATGACCTGTCTCACCTTGGGAAACGAGGGAGTCTGCAGTAACTTCCCCCTTTCCCACTGCCGACCCTCAACACATCCATGTACACAGGTCCATTCTCCTAGCAGCGGCAACAGCCTCTTCAAAGCTATGTTTATACTAGAGAAATAGCATTGCATCTTTCAGAGCCAAGCAGTGCCAATTTTTTGGTTTTTCCTTCTGCTGTCAGTCTAGGTACTGAGGCCCCTCCCATGACTAATAGCCCCACATGGTGGCTGTTTTGTTAGTCATGGGAGGAACCTCAGAACCTCAGTACCATGGGGTTACTTACATGGCGTCTGCACTGCTTAACTACTCTCTCTCTCAAAAGCTTTTAATGTCAAGATTGTTCTCTTTCTCTTTTGCCTTTTTTTGAAATTAGATAAATGTTTGTATAGATTCTTCTCTGATCCCAGTGCACACGGCAGTGTGATTATTTATCCTATCCAAGAAACCTCTCAGTTATCAGAGAACAGGGTATTTTTTTCTTTCAAGTTATATCCAAAATAAACTGTCATTTCATGTGCACCTACCATATTCTGGTCCCTTTCATTCATTCTCTCATGTGATTCTCTTAATACCTCATTTTACAAATGTTGTTCCAGTTTGAAGTTTGGAGAGATTTGTCAACTTGCTCAAAGTCACACAGCTATTAAGTGAAAGATCAGCAGTTCAAAACCAGTGAGGCACATTTCCAACACCAAGCTCTTATCACTCGAACCACCTCACAGGTCTACTGCACAGAGTGAACCAGACAACGAGCATGAAGCTATCCTGCAAACTGTAAAGTGCAGAGGAAAAATGTATCGTTCTGTCCAGCAGCACCTCGGTCATCGACGTGCCCCTTTCTCATGCTCAGCCGTTGGTTTCTTGTGCTTAACTTAGGCACCAATCTTGGCAAGCCTTGGACCTTTGTAACTCTTTGTGTTTGAGGGTTTTTGCTTTGTTCAAAGTGTCGCATTGGGAACCCATTCTGAGAAAGTCATGAAGAAACAGCCTTTGCAAGGGAAAATCACCACCACCCCTACCACCACAAACTACCAGTTGGATACTTAATAATGGCCAGCACTGAACTAAACATTTTACATATGTT